GGCCAAACTAAGCATTGTAGATAGCATGTTATTAGAAATGGAAATCATGCTAGTATTCCAGATACATGTTTCCTTTCTGATCAACCAGACTTGGGGTGGGGGAAGCTCCTGTTTATATACTGAAGATCAATCAATTGGCCCTGCATGACCAATCACAAAACAAGGGAAGCTAATTTGTAAACTACAGGAAATGTGAAAAGCCCCTCCTATAACAATCAAATATTTTCAGTCCTTAAAGAATTCTTGCTTCTTTCTAAGGATGTGCTCTTTGTTATGGGTACATTTGACCTTGAGTTCGGTAAGAACCACAGACTGGACAAGTTTGCAAACCACTGGAGGCCATGTCATAGGTGTGAACTGAAGACAAATGTTTTCATATTCCATCTTTCCTCAGTGGCTGAAATCCTGTTGCGTAGCTCCATGTGCACAGTGGGGATGACATCACCAGTAGGGACAGGATTTTTGGAATTCAAAAACTTCCAGTGCCATAATTTGGCAGAAAACCCCAGGTTGAATTATGGGACCAGAAGCCCTCAAATCATCAGGAGGTAGAGCAGCCTTCTCACCTCCATGCCATTCTCATGCCATATTTTCAAATTGTTAGGAAAATGCCTCACTACAGTTTTAGAATGTATGGAGACAACTTCTCTCATAACTTATTCCCCATTCACCTTTGCAAGTTCAGGGAATCTTTGTGACTCCCTTGTTGTAACAGGGCACTTTTCTTTTGGTTCAAAGAAGCAGCCCGAGGTGAGGGAATGCTTTGCCTACTGCCAGTTTGAGGACCCCAGTCCCATAATTTGGCTGGTGTGTTTGTGTTTCCCACTGATTTATGGGATTGGGAGTCCTTGAATTCCAAAAATCCCATTTCTAATCAGCATTGAGAAAATGTTGCTGATTAAAGGTTTCCTTTGACGATTTTGGGATGCATGTGACTGTCATTCACCCTCTATGTTTAATTAAAACATCATAGGCATCCTTCAGTCTTGAGAGTCTATGGTAATGTGCTCTGTATGGAGGACTTGGAACAGTGTCTAGTGTTTTGACGCTGTACGTGAAGCTGGAGTGTTCTCTCCAGGGCACAAAACCTGGGTAAAATAATATGGAGGATAGGCTGTTACCCAACCAGCAAATCCCCCCTCTCCATGTCACTGAAATAGTCCAATGGAAAGGCAAAAGCCAATACAACTAGTTCCAGAGACATCGCAGGAGCTAACAGAATGACATGAACTGCCTCCGGGACTTCGGCTCCGGATTTTGCCTCGAAGTTAACTCCTGAATCCTTTTCCATCAATGGATATAGTCACAAGGCAGTGGAGGTTTGAAGTCAGAGTTTTCCTTCTCCTAGATGGGCTGCCTTCCAGGGCTGAACAAGTCCCACCTACCCGGCAGTTGAGTATGAATCAACTGCATCCCCAAATTGCCAAAGGGACGCCTTTAATCAGCAGCAGTTTGCTACTGCTGCTTCTGCTGCCAATTCCTATTATGCAGGTGGAACTGCACTTCAGCATTTCAGCCATCCCAGTGGAAAACTTGCTAAACCTTTTCCTCCTGTGAGCTCAGGACAACACTCCTATTAGCTCAAGGATGATTGACATTGCAGTCCAACATATTCTGGAAGGCCACTATAGTTCACTCCTGCTATATAAGCATTCGTCCTAAAACAGCCTAAAGGCAGTTGGCAGTCATATCTGGAGACTTTCCATGAGATGATGAGAAAGAGCTGTGGGTGTTAGTTGCTCTAGAAGCAACTTTAAGTCTAAGTCTAAGCAATTACAGTATTTTCTGTGGGGAAGTTTTGTTTTCTTTTGTAGGTTTTCTACAGTTTTCTGTATCCTTGGTGTGCAGATTTGAGAATAACATGAAAATCACAAAAGGCTCTATAAGTACCCCATGACTCTTATCCAAAGGAAACAAACTCCTGTAGCACTACCATGGATTTCTTACCCTACTTGAGGAAGTACACAGTGTTTTATGAAGCATTGCTTACAATTAATGGGCTTCTCTAGCAGGCTATACTGTCCAAAGAAGAGCTTTTCTGGGGCTGTTACTTCGGTTATTTTTAAATGTGTTCCTGAGAGAGGAGATTGTTTGAGGTATTTCAGATGTCCTTCTGATCTGAGAGGAAAAAAAAGGTACCAGTGGTTTGATCTGGATGCAGTTACTCTATAGAGTTCAAAAGCAGTTTAGAATGCTCTCAAAAACCAGATGAAAGGCTGATCAAGAATATAATTGCATTCTGGACATTGGTGTATAGGCAGCTCCTGACCAGGGACCTCCACTCCCAATATCAGCCAAGGTGCACCCCCTTAGTCCATGTGCTGTCAGTAGGTGCATAACTGCTAGCACACTATTAATTAGCTGCGATTTTCCACCACAGTTTGTATGATTTCAGTCACTCCAGAGCAAAATTGCAACAGGATTCTAACCAATGTTATTGGTTATAATGTTCAGAAATTCAGAGGTCCTCTTTGAGTTTTTTCAGTCTCTTGAGGACTTTGTGTGTCCTGATCAGGCAATGTCTCTAGACTCCACATTTCTGAGGACCAACGTCTGCTATCCAAGCATTCTCTTTGGCTTGTTCCACTCTGGAAGTTATCTCCCACTGTATCAGTAGCTGCCAGTTCTTAATTCTAGCATTCTCTTTGGCTTGCTCCACTCTGGAAGATATCTCTCATTGTATCAGTAGCTGCCAGTTCTTAATTCTACAGAGAACATACATTAGAATTTGCATTTTGTTGACACCTTCTCCTCCCCCATTACCATTCAGGTGCTTAGAATATAATACAGATCACTGTTTACAATAACCAACAAGCAATCATCTCTAGTATGGACTGAGCTCACCAACTGCAGCGTGTGTATAGAGACAAGTTAAATCTAGTTAAAGAAATGTCCTTGAATGTCGCAAATCAGAACTAAGAAGGAAAATATGTAGTTGTTGTTAAACAACAACAACAACAAAACAAGTCTGGCATAAAGGCCCACAATTTGGTCCAGAGTTTCTTCAACCATTTCCAGCATTTAACATGAGTTAGAGAGAGAGAGAAAAAAAATACAAAATCAGACATACTCTATCAGCAGTTCTCAGTAGGGGCCATATGCCCCCTGGTGGGCCTTGGCACTTTTGAAAAGGGTCACAGATTCATCTGTTCCTGTTGTATCCTTGTTTGCACACAGCCAAAGGCCTTTCTTGTTTAACAGGGGTCCTGGAACCTGAGAAAAACTTCTAAAAGGGCCCTGTCAAAAAAAGGCTGAGAGTGGCTGCACTACTGACTTCTAAAAGGGCCCTGTCAAAAAAAAAAGGCTGAGAGTGGCTGCACTACTGCTGAATTGACAAGACCAAAGCTATAGGATAGAGATTGGCATTGGCAACATTGTAGGACATGGATGGGCTAAATTTCCCCACTTCTGTACCATTACTAACTTACATGCAAAGAAGGGGGTGGATCAGAACAAAACATCCTTTTGGCAATGAGACTTAGCAAGGTATTGAAGAGACAGAGCAGTATGACCTAGCAATCCACCACCTCTTTCTCCAATCTAAATAATTTCAAGACTATAAGAAGTGGCCAGAAACCTATTGCTATTTGTGTAACTTAAATGCAGTTAATTGATGAGGTGCTGAGGTACATCTTAGTAGCATGCCTGGTCAGACATCCCAATGTGCAACCACAATGTGCCCCCAAACCTCATCAACCAGCACAATTCACTGCAGCAAGTTATGCAAGCCTAACAGAAAGACAGAGTTCCAGTCATTTTGCTTAAAGTAGCATTTTACTAAATAAGGGTATTTTTCTTGAAATATTGGTCTTTCTGATCTTCCACTATCACACTCAGCTGGTCTTATGTCAAGAAGAGGCAATGTGTGTCCACCGGAGGGTGAAGGACTACAAACCCCTCACCCCCCAACTTTTGGCTGCTCTGAGTAAGGCTGGTGGGAGTTGCCACCCAGCTCTATACTATAGGTAGCTATTTCCACAACATTCTAATGTTTAAAAAATTATTCTCTTGTTTTGTCAGAGCCAGATAGCACTAGAGGGATGCCTCACTGTTGCAGTTTCCTCTTCTTCATTTTCTACTGAAAGAGAAAATACCTTGCAGTCCTAGACAAGCTTTACAACATACCCAGATGAGATCATGACTCTTGCTCTCAGATTTTATGGATGTTATCTGAGTGAGACCCTGTCGCTTGTCCTAGCTCCCGCCAACCTAGCGGTTTGAAAGCATGCAAAATGCGAGTAGATAAATAGGGACCACCACGGTGGGAAAGTAACGGTGTTACGCTGGCCATGTGACCACGGAAGATTGTCTGTGGACAAATGCTAGCTCTATGGGTTGGAAACGGAGATGAGCACCGCCCCCGAGAGTCGGACATGACTGGACAAATTGTCAAGGGGAACCTTTACCTTTTACCTATCTGAGAAAACAAATCATCTCCAACTCCAAAACTGTCATGTTCATCTTTCTTTTTGAAAGCATGCAGTGTTCAATCAGTTTCTTAGTAACAATAATTTGTAATTTAGTTTATCAGTATGTTCAGGCAGCTATACTATGTTTTAGCATTTTCATAAAGAGCTTCATAAAGACACACGGAAACAAGAGTGATTATAAGCATTTATTTTAATATGTATAAATGTATATGAAGTATTAAAACAGTTTTCCAACTGAAGTTAAAAAATTAAAATTTAAACATCTTTCTTGAGATGAAGTGGCCTTTAAAGCCTTGCTCTCTGGGTTATTTAGCTCCAGTTGTTACAAAACACAAAATTTGGGAGTGAGTGGAAAAGGCACTGCTCAGCAGCCTAGTACCACTTCAAACAAACAAACAAACAAATCAGACGCTTAGCAGCTCCAGACGCTGAAAAGAAACGGCTTTTAGACGGTCTGGATACCTGTTGACAGGGGAGAAGGGAGGTGTGACCGGGGGGCGTGGCTTAACCGAGATTCCCGCCCCCCGCCCTCCGTTTATTTTGTTTCTTCCAGCCTGGACGGCTCTGAATAATACCACTCTCTCCTTGTTCTCCCAGCGTCCTTTGCGGCGGCGGCGGCGGCGGCTGTCTGTTGCTCGCCATATTGTGTAGCTGAGAGGGGAAGGGGGGCTGAAGCAGCCGCTGTCGACTCGCCTCAGCCCTGGCTGCGGGAAGAGGAGGCGGTGGTGCCGAGGGCGGCGGCGGCGGCGGCAACGGCAACAACAACGCGGGAGGTGACCACGACGGGCAAGAGAGCCGAGCGGGCGGGCGGGAGCGGACGAGCCTTCGAGAGGCAGCGAGCAACGGGGCCGGTGAGGGGATGGGGGAAGGTGGTTCAGCTGTTTCGGGGTTTCGAAGGGGGGGGCGGCCCTCTTTCTCCCTCCCCAGGACGGGAGGCAGCTGCCACCCAACGTCTGTGGAATGACAAATCCTGTCTACTCGGCGGTAATCAGCTTCGGAATAAATAGGTCTACAACCGTGTTCCATGGTGTCGTTCGTCTCCTCCCCACCCTGTATGATCCCTTTCTTCCTACAGTTGAGACCCTATGCAAACCGCCCCCCGCCATTCTGTGTGTGTATTTGTGTGTGTGTGTGTTTTCTCCCCAGAAGGTAGTCGTGTCTCTGTCCCCTTAAATTGTCACGATTGTCCCCTTAAGACAGGGAAGGAGGAGGGAGCGATCCGATAGCACGTAGGAAGCGGCCCCCTCAAGGTGTCAGCGATCCTCTTTAGTTTCTGCCTCGGTTATTGTGGGGGAGGCTGCCTTCATAACGCAAAAAGGTCAAGACTGAAGGAATGATTGAATTTCCCCCTCCCCCGTTGTGTTAGCAGATAGGTAGTAAGTCCAGGCATTTGAACAAGGGGTTGTAAATCTATCCTTTCTACTGGCTTTGCACCCCTCTTCTCAGTCCAGCATGATTCCTTTAGTACAATCTATTGCTGGCAATGTAATGCAGTTGCTAACTTGTTTGCTATATTTTGTAGAGCAGTGCCATGCAAAGTAGAGGGTTAAAAAAAAACACAACAGAACCCTGAGATATGCCACCTAGACACCGGTGCAAAAGGCACAGGTTTTGCATGAAATAATTTTGAGCTGAATAATTGGTTGTATATGTAAGAAGTGTGTATGTGTTATACTATCCTTGCCCACAGAAAGCTACTTTTGATTGCATCAAGCTTCCTTAATGTCAGCAATATTATTATTTACAAATGGGTCTCAACTAGTCGCTGCTAATGTTAAATACTGTAATTGGGATGCTGGAAATCTCTCCAGTTGTACTTTGTAGCTGTACGCTTCATAAGAATACATCTCAACAGAGTCTCAATTCTCCTGATGTGTCCCCTTGATATCTGTTAGTTTTAAGGGTTGGCTTTTGTGAATTTGGACCTCTCACCAAATCAAAGATGATTATGGGATGTCCCAGCTCAGAATTTTGACAGAACACCTTAAAATGTTGCCTGTGTTCCTTACGATATAAATACTTTTTGTGTGTGTGGCTGGATAACTCAGTGATTTAGGTACTTGGCTGCAGAGCCAGAGATTGGGAGTTTAATTCCCCACTGTGCCTCCTTAGAAGAGAGCTGATCTGTGTGGCCTTGGGCAAGCTGCATAGTCCCAAGGCTCTTGCAGAAGGCGGCAATGGTAAACTACTTCTGAGTATTCACTATCTGGAAACCCCTGGAAATGGTTGCTAGAAGTCAGAATCGACTTCATGGCACACAGTTGATATTAGTTTGTCCAAAAAATGAAAAGCCTATGTAATTAAGTTTGTTTTAAGGTGGTACTGCTGTAAGTTTCTTTGAAATTTCAATAGATCTAGGGTCAGAATAAATGAAATATGCAACCTGTGGTTGGATTTCTTCCCATTTAAAGATATGTATATACAGTTTGAACAAGAGTTGGGTATTTGACTAATAAAAGGGATTATATTTATAATTTGTTCCTAAAATAATAGCTAGTAGAGTATTAACTTAATTCCAACAACAAATACGTTGTTCTGTGTTACTAATTAACATTTTTAGTAATTGACCATGCTGAAAAGTTGTGGCAGAGTGGAATTGATCATGATAAGTTAGGGAGTTGCCTTTCTCTTTAAGTAATTTTATTCTAACTCTCTTATAAGATTTAACCATGCTTCCAAGTCTTAACTTAGAAAAAAACGTACCCCAGCTATTGAAAATTGGAGTGACACTATTTTAAACACTTTGTAATTATGCTGCAGTCTTTAATTGGTTTCTAAATAGAATAATTATTAGATGGAACTAGTTTGTCCAATGAAGTACTTCTGATAAGAAATAAACATTCAGTATAGAAGTAGAAGTACTTGGCTGTATAGCCCAGTGTGATTGGGTTCATTAAAGATCTGAAGAAGTTCCTCCTTTTTGGTGGGAAATGACAACTCTCTTTCTGAATGTTAACACATTTATTTAGTTTAACATTAGGTGAGTCTACAACAACCTCTATTGGTTCAAAACAACTAAGATCTGGTAACTGTCCAAACTGTGAGGACGATAATTCTGTCTGGAAATTAACAGGATTCATTAAGGGGCTGGCCCAAAACATTCCTGATAGGTGGGCTTCTTCAGCAGAGCACTCCAGGCGTGCATATTGTCCCACAACAAGGGTGTCTGGCCCAGTGGTGGTGGGTGGTTGAAGGAAGGGTCTGGCCGAATCACCCTCCTCGAGTGATCTTGTCGCCGTGGAAAGACCACGACCATCCATTCTAGAGCTTCTGCCAATGTCCCCTTTTCTTTAGACTTGTCTGGGTCAGGTAGCAACCTTCCTACCTTCAAATTAAGGAAGTCTTCCAACAACTCACACATTCTATCATATTCATATTCTCTTTTTCTCACCCCTCTTTTCCTACCCTTCCTTCTTTTTCTCCCTCCTTGGTACATTGCACTGTGCTCCCCTATATTCTCCTCCCACACAGGCAAAATTAACTCTTCTCCCTTTCTCTCTTCCACTAGACAGATTTCAATCTTCTCCTCTTTCCCCTTTGATTCCCTTCTTTTCCCTTCCTCCACATTCAACTCCTCACTTTTCATTGTCTTCCCTACTTCTATATCTCTCTCCCGCTCAGATGTCTCTAGCTGAGGGGATGGTTCACTTTGTTCTTTCTCCTTTGGGTCTACCGCTCCTTCACACTCAGTGAGTTGAATATCTAGAGGTTGGGAGTTTGATTCCCCACTGTATGTCTCACAGCCAGCCTATGTAGCCTTGGAGGATTTCCTCAAGGGGACTAAGAGAGAAGAATCATCCCAGGGCCTGGGGGGATGAGAGAGCTAAGACAGCAGTTAGAATAGGTGGGAGAGGAGGAGGAGGAGAAGGAGGAAATAAGAAAGGGGGTGGGGGAGAAAGGGGAACCAGTAGTAGAAGCAAGATAAGGAGAAGAGGTAAACAAGGAGGAGACAGTACCACCAGGGTGGGAATGGATCTGGTTAGAAGATCCCTGGACTCACAGGTAAGAGAGATTAAAATTACATCAGGAAGAAGCAGGCCATAGGAGGAGAGTGGTCATTTCCCCAAGACCTTCATATTGGGGAGAAGCCAAGGCAAGGGATTGGAGAAGGAAGTTAAGAGAAGAGAGAGACAAAATTGAACAGGAAAGACGAGAGAGGATCCAATGGCGAGTGTGGGAGATGAAGAGGAGGCCAGGACTGGGAGAAACAGGGAAATCATGGAACCGGGGGAGAGGACAAAGTGGGAGGAATTTTTGGGAGAAGTTTCTGTGCCCCTGTTACCTGTATCGATGGGGATGACAATAAAGAGCTGGATACCGGCTGAGCAACCGGGCCCCTGGAATTCGAGTTTTTGGAACTCTTTTGTCCAGGAAGAGTGGAAACTCTTTCCAACCCAGTTGGAAGGAAAGGAGAATGACTATGTTCCAGTTGAAGTAAATTGTTTGATAGTTCTAAAATTGTGGCCTTTACTGTTTCGTGTGAATGTTGACACAATCTTACAGTTTAATGAGAATTGATGCATTTAAGGTGCAAAAGATCTACAGTGTCTGAATCTAGAATATTGGACCCATCTGAAAAGTTTCAGAATTTCTTTTGCTTCCCCATTCTCAAATTACATCTAACCACAATGCAGATACATTTTGTCATTTTGCTGTTTGTGCTTAATGCTAATTCACTTGCAGAGAATATTTAAACTAAGGTAAGGCATAGTAATGATAGGAATGTGATTTCAAGATTAAATAGCCTTCATCCAGATAGAATAGACACCTGTCAGATATTTGTGAGCTACAATCAGGGAAAAGCAAGTAGATCAGTATTGGGTAACTTGCTAACTCTTTATATCTGGTTCCTTCAGTCACCAGAAAATAGAAATGTGTTTGATGGAGTAGTTAGGTTAGTAGGGCAGGTGCTAAGGTAAAGGTTCCCCTTGACAATTTGTCCAGTCGTTTCCGACTCTAGGGGGCGGTGCTCATATCCGTTTCCAACCCATAGAGCTAGCATTTGTCCGAAGACAATATCCCGTGGTCACGTGGCCAGCGCAACTAGACACGGAATGCCATTGTGGTCGTACCTATTTACAGTATCTACTCGCATTTTTGCATTTTGCATGCTTTCGAACCGCTAGGTTGGCAGGAGCTGGGACAAGCGACGGGGGCTCACTCCGTCGTGTGGATTCAATTTTACGACTGCAGGTCTTCTGACCTTGTAGCACAGAGGCTTCTGCGGTTTAACCCGCAGCGCCACCACGTCCATGCATGACCCAGTTGCCTCTGTTTAAGCAGGTGCTTAAACAGAGGCAACTGGGCCATGCATGGAGATAGGGTTATATTTGAATAAATTCATTACTGTAATGAGTTTCATAGTAAACTTCATGAATTATGTTGGGATGAATATTAAAGTCAGCAAAACCTCTTTAGCATTACTAATGAAAATTTTCATGGGAGGTTAGTAAATTCTTTTGAATGTCAGTTTTGGGTGAGAATGGTAAATTGTAGAATTCTCAACATTTGGCACAGCAACAGTAATTTTAAAAAGCAAGTGTCAGCTGTCTCTGCTCAAAATCATGGGAAACAGTGTTCTTGTATAAAGGACAAGATGAAACTTAATAAATAAAATTAAATATTGTTTCTTGAAAGTGAATTTTGTATTGTCATGAAGTTAGTTTCAGTGTACAAGGTGTGTGTCTATACAAGTGCACAGTAACAACATCCTCTGTGGTCTTTACTAGGGATGGGACTTTAGGTTTTTTGTCCTCCAACTCCTAGAATTCTCCAGGAATTCCCCTGGCAGAATTCTGGGAGGTACACCTCCGAAACATAGGTCTACATACCAGCTTTACAGTATTTGCTTCATTTGGTATCTTCTGTTTCAAATTTTCTAGGAGACACAAGTCTCTTTGGAAGACAAGTTATTTGCCTGTCCTGCAGGCTATCCAGGGACATGAGTGTAGTCACTTTGGGACTCAGTGGCATCATGGAACTAGGGCTTGTGGGAACTATGACATCATCCATCTATCCCCAGGCTTGCCTGTTCCCTCTGAGTTTAGTTGCAATCCTCTAGTTGAGAGAAAAATGGATTTTCTCGGGAGCGATGTACTGTTGCAAGGTATACCTGTTGTGTGGTTGGTCTTGAATGGGCAGTTTAGAGCCACTAACTTTATGAAATATATGTACCTAATTTGTTAATGTGCACCAATCCAGCAGCCTGCCTATTTGGACTTATGTTTTGGAGTGCTGTGGGAGCTATCACTAGGAGCACCTTCATTTCCAAAGTTACTCCTACATCACTGTTGGTAACACTGTTCTGGACTATGTGAGTCTTTCATTCAGTCTGTCAAGGCTCTTCTTGTGCTCTCAAGTATGTTTTGCATGCTCTCGGGTATGGCAGATATGAACAGTAGCATGCATAGTATTGTCTGTACCACCCACAGCACAATATATGAAGGGATTATCCATATGGGTGATAGGGATGTAGTTGGCTCAACCCTTTGGACTTGCTAATACAGTACATAAACAAGTATACAAGAACAATTCAAAGAGACTTGTCTTGTTGCATTTGTATCCACCTGGCCCTCCGCACCCCCCAGTTCTACAGAATATATTGTATTTCCTCACAACAACTGAGTTTAGACTGAGAGATGGTAGATTGTTCAAACCAATTAGTGATCTTTGTAGCTAAGTTCCAGATTGATACTCGACTTTCCACCTCTGTGCTTGATGCATTAATCCATATACCACTTTGTCAGTTTGTCTCTTGGAAGTGTTTGTTGAAACCTAACGATGAAGCGAGGTGAAGGAGAAGGAATATCGGCACACTTAATGCTGTGACGATTTGTAACAATGTGGACTTAGAGACCTTCTCTGACATTTGTAGATACTCTACATGTGAGCAGTAGATGTTTTTTCCACTACTTGAAATGTACTTTTCTCCTACCCAAAGTTTTAACGACTTGGCCAATCTATGTGAAAGCAAATCGTGCCACATTTCTCTACATACTCTGTAGCCAAGGGGGTGGGAGAGGGAATTCAAAACGTGTAAGTTTATTTTGGCACAGTGCTAGGCAAGATATTTGCTTAATAAATTTCACAGAAATGTCTTGTATGGCGTATTTTTGTTTTTTATTATTGGTTTTTAAATAGTGAGACTGGTTTAGTTTTGTACTGGAATGCTTCCATGCTGTCTAGAAAGTTATGTGCATGCTGTTAAAGAAGTCCTACTGCCTTTGTGTCCTAGGAAACATTTACATATTTTCAGGGAGAAGCTTGGGATTTTCGTATTGCCTGTGATCAGCTCACTACTAACTCATGGGAAACATTTTTTTGGATCTTTAACTTTGGAGATTTTGGAAACTAGACCAGGCTTTTCTAGTGCCTTAGGGAGATAAAATGTATTGGGATGGAGATGCTTCCCTGCCCAGATTTCTGTTATTGTGCGGCTTGGGCATTTGTGTTCCTATTGTTGCTGTAGGCTGCTAGATTTACACATTTTGGGCATTTTGGAGCTTCTTTTTTACACTGTACGTATACAATATGAAAACAGGTGCTGTTCGGTGCTCTGGAGTCTGATAGCTAATGATTCAATAGCATTTCTAAGTTTGGCTTTCTCTGGAATTGTTATCAAAAGCTAGTTTGTTTGGCAAATGCCTACAGGTGTCTGCAAACCAGACTCTTCCCTTTGCATGCACGTCTGCTAGAATGCCAGTACTGTATTGCAAAAATGGCATCATTCCTGCACATGAACAAGGTTTGTGCAGGTTTAACTATGGCTTGAAAGATTCAGAACCCCTGCCACCCTCCCACCCGCCAGAATAGCTCAGTGACTTCAGTATCTGGCTGTGGAACTAGGGAGTTCAATTGAATTGGGAGTTCAATTCCCCACTCTGCATCCCAAGATTGGAGCCAGCCTGTGTAGCCTTGTGCAAGTGGTACAGTCCCAGAAGAAGGGAATGGTAAACCACTTCAGAGTATTCTGTACCCAGACATCCCTAGAAAGGACTGTCACACATCAAGAGTTGACAGCACACAATTACTAAGAACTCGTTTCTAATAACAAATTACAGGTATTTAAGTGCATAACCTTATGTAGCCAAAATGGAACAATATGTATACAAGAAGACATTAGGAGGTTTGGCAAAACCCAAGGACTAGAGAAGTACCCCCTTGCCCTGCTAACTTACTAAAAAATCCTCTTAAGGGACCGATTCACCCCAGTTGTCCACTATGAATAGAAGATGCTCAGTGGATACCAAGAGCTAGCTGAATGTTGAAAGAGAGTTGGAAGATAAGGGTGGAGTGGAGTTTGCAATTTCATAGTTAAAGACTGTGAAGACAAAGGAAAATTTGAAACTTAGCTTATTAAAACTTACAGGTTTCAGGTGATAAATCTTTTGATGTCTAAATAGTATTTCGGGGTGTTATAAAAGTGTTCTGAATAGAGATGACCACAAACCTTGACCTGGAAGTTCATGTTAGCTTGTACATGCGACATTACAGGTGCTGCACATTCCCTTCCCCTGCCTCCCTGATGAATTACCCACTCACCAGCTGGCATGCTCCTCTCCTCCTCCTCCTCTTTGGCAGTCCCCGGCAGGAGCGTGAGTGGACGAGATCAGCCAAGGAGGTAGAGCGGGGAAGCTGGTGCTCCTGCTGGGGACTGGCTGAACAACCAAAGAGGAGGAGGAGGAGGGGAGAGTGCGCCAGGTGGTGAGTGGGGGATCAAACGGGAGAAGAGAATGTGTGGCACCTGTGGTGCCATACGTATAAACCGACATGAACCGTGGAATTGAGGTTCATGCCCATCTCTAGGTCTGAATTTCCTGCCTCTTTGGTTTGCTCTTTGTTTTTTTAAAAAAGCCTCTGCTACATTTATTTGTTATACAGTACATTAAGTTAGCATTTTCAATTCCCAGGCATAAGTGGTGTTTGAAATTCCTAGGAACTTGTGATTAGTAATGAGTGGCAAGAGCCCTGTTGCACAAATCTTCATGTGTAAAGGTTGAACCCTGTGCATGTAAAGCCATGTACTTTAATCTTTCATTAGGAATTTATTGAAGACCATTTAATCCATTCCAGCCAAAGGGAAAAAAAATCCCGGACTTCCAACGCTGCACCCGCTGCCCTCTGCCTTCTGTCCCCGCTGGCCTCTGCCTCCCATCCCCATGGGGACAGGAGGCAGAGGGCACCAGGGACAGGAGACAAGAGGGCAGCGGGTGCAGCTTTGGAAGCCCTGAAAGTCGAAAGCCGGCAGCTGGCGTGGAGGTCGGGGTGGCTTTTGGCTTGCTGGGAGCCCGGCAAGCTGAAAGTTCGAAAGCTGCATCTGCTGCCCTCTGTCTCCTGTCCACTGTTCCAATATGGATTTCCAGCCAAAGAAAAAAAATCCTGGGCTTCCAAAGGTGCACCCGCTGCCCTCTGCCTTCTGTCTCTGACTGGCAGCTATCCCCGTCTTTTAGGAATTTTCAGTATGAAATAATAGTGGGTGAAAATGCATGTTAGAACTAGAAGTGATCTGAAAGATGTACTCAGAGGATCAGGAAATAATCAGTGTTCTCCTTCAGTCCTAAACCATCTTTGAAACATATTTGGCTTGTAAAAATGCTTGTTTTTATATATTTTCTCCTTTTAGCCATGTCTCAAGCCGTGCAGACAAACGGAACACAGCCTTTGAGCAAAACATGGGAGCTGAGCTTGTACGAACTTCAAAGAACACCTCAGGTGCCTGTCTATTGCTTCGCCTCCCCTCCTATTTTTGCAGAAATAAATACAGTGGTGCCTCAACTTATGAACACCCCTACCTACGAAAATTGCGAGTTACGGAAAGCTCTGGCCACAAGATTTTGCTTCGCCTTGTGGCTGGAACTTCGACCTAAGAACAGAAAAAGGCAGGGGGAAAGGGTGGGAAATTCAAACCGTTGGTGGCGAAGAGGCTGCTTCTTTGTAGCTCTTTTGCCCCAATGGTTAGAGCAGGGGAGGTCAGGGAACTTTTTTACTCCTGCAGGGCAGGAGGAGGAAGGAGAGGCAGGGGCAGCTCCAGATCGCTGCTGGGCGCAGGAAGCCGGTGTGCCCCTTGCCCACCCCTTCCATGGGTCTAATCATGGGTAGGTCTGCAGAAGGCACATGTCTACTCATGAGTAAAGGCGGCCAAAGGCGCGGGGGTGGGAGGGGCACCTCCGTGGATAGGGCGTGCAGAGGCGGCGGCGCAGGAGGAGGCTCCCCGGCGGGAGTGAGTGCCACTGGAGGAGGCTTCAGTCTGCCTGGCAAGGTGCTGCTTTTTCCTTTTTAGAAACTTCTGGGTGGGTTTTGCAAGGGGGGTTGGCTGAGGGGGGGTTATGTTTCTGTGCTGTGTTGTTTTTTTTTGCAGTCCCAGCGTGGGGATTGCTCAATGTTTATTTCTGGGTTTTTTTCTGGCAGCCTTCGGGGCTTGCTCTGTTTATTTTTGGTTGTTTTTTTAAAAGCCCCAGCACCTTCCGATGGGGCTTTCTGTGTGCTTTAATAATTTTTTTGCCATTTTTTTAAAATGCTGGAACAGATTAATCCTGTTCCCATGCATTTCAATGGGAAATGGTGCTTTGACTTACGAAAATTTCGAATTATGACCACTGTTCCAATATGGATTAATTTTGTAAGTCGAGGCACCGCTGTATGTGGGAGAAATATGTGACTGAGTTTGCTTTTAGTTTGCTACCTAGAGCGGTGCAACAAAAATTAAACCTGATTTATATTGTCAGAAATAAAAAAAACCAGATGGGTGTCTATGAAGAAATCTCTTACTTAGTGGCATCTTACGTTTTTAATTTCAACATGGTCAAGAAATAATTGCATGACACCACTATTTTTGATCATTAGGAAGCAATAACAGATGGCCTGGAGATAGTGGTGTCACCCCGAAGCCTCCACAGTGAGCTAATGTGTCCAATTTGTCTGGATATGTTAAAAAACACCATGACTACTAAGGAATGTCTACATCGTTTTTGTGCAGATTGCATCATCACAGCCCTCAGAAGTGGGTAAGTAAGAGGAAAGTATATAGAAAAAAAGGGACAATTTATCTCATGAGCAGTATCTTTTAGTTGTAATAAAAAGGACATGCAAAAATATTCTTGCTCTACTTCTTTTTCATTTCCCTCTAAAAGAATAGTTTGCTGCCAATATAGCCAGCCAGAACCAAGACCACTGTCTTAAGATGAAAAAGAATTTGTAGTAGTTATATTTTTATCCTTTGCTTTTCTCAGGGCATAATGGGATGGGGTATGTGTGTTTCCCAGAAACCTTCATAGCCAAGCTAGGATTTGCACCCTGGCTGAAGTAGATTCTTTATCCATAAGACTAAACTGGATGCCAAGTAACCACTTTTTCCCCTCTGCCTGGAGAAAAGAGGATGTATAATGATTTGTGTGTGTGTTCCTGTTCCTTCTCTCCCATTTTTTCAAATCACAGAACAGTATGTAGGGATAACAACAGTACAATTAATTCAGGGGCAAACCATTCTGTTGACTTATGCCTCATGTTTGCCTGTTGTTCTTTGTTTACAACATTGAATTGTTGTGGTAACAGCAGTAAAGTTAGTGTAACAATTTTTTTAGCATCAGGTACTTAAGATTCTGAAATACACAAAATTGGCTTGTGTCCTTTGCCCAATCTGGGAGAACTTAAGTATACCTCAAGGAGCTGTTGCTGAACTAGTTCAGATTTTTGCAATGTTCTACAGTTGTTTGGAAACATACTTGCTGAATTATTTTTCTCCTCTTCTCTGCTCAGAAACAAAGAATGCCCAACTTGTCGTAAAAAGCTTGTTTCTAAAAGATCCCTGAGGCCAGATCCAAACTTCGATGCCCTCATCAGTAAAATTTACCCAAGTCGTGATGAATATGAGGCTCATCAGGAGAGAGTTCTAGCAAGGATCAGCAAGCACAATAACCAACAAGCTCTGAGCCACAGCATTGAAGAGGGCCTGAAAATCCAGGCTCTGAACAGGTAGGAAATCTTTAGCAGTCAAGCATTAGGGATGGGGAAGGTTCTATATTACATGTAGGTAGATCAGTTTCCTGTATTGTTCTTACGTTTGTTAGCAGGTATGAGAGAAGTGCCCATCTTTAGGGCCCTGCTGCTTGTCAGAGTACTGGTTTACATGGACTAGTGTTCTGACTCTGTTAAGTCAGTTTTATGTGTTCATTAACTTAAAATGTGTGAAAGGCATACATTTTGAGTGAAGTCCTGTATATTTTTCTTGGATATTGGAAAATAGCAAACTGTGCAAAGCTATTGTTCATGTTATAACAGGATAAGGACAAATGTTCTAATATTACAGTAAGCAGAATGTAGTATTTGTTAGAAAACTACACTAAACTGCCACATTGTTGAATAGTATTTTTATATTTGCACTGTTGAGTAAATCCCTTTTGGAAAGTTGAATTAAATCCCGGTAGAGGGGGGAAATTAGATGTGTTTAATACCAATGCAAAAAGACCCAGTCTGGTGTATTTGTGGGGAAAAGTTTTCCTGAGGTCATGTTCCTGCTATATGCAGCTTTTGGAGAGAAGTACCGTGTTTTCCTGAAAATAAAAGTGTGCTGCTTATATAAAGCAAAGCATGCTGCTTATATACCACCCCATAGCACTTCAAGCACTCTCTGGGCGGTTTACAAGTTAATTATGCAGGCTACACATTGCTCCCCCCCAGTTCTTAACTCAAATCTAAGTATGTAAGTCAAGTCAATATTTTCCTGTGAGAGTGGTTCTTAAGTCAAAATGTTCTTAACTCGAGCCGTTCTTAAGTCAAGACCCCACTGTATAACAGCATAAGGACAAATGTTCCAATATTACAGTGAGCAGAATGTAGTATTTGTTAGAAAACTACACTAAATTGCCACATTGTTGAATAGTATTTTTATATTTGCACTGTTGAGTGAATCCCTTTTGGAAAGTTGAATTAAATCCCGGTAGAGGGGGGAAATTAGATGTGTTTAATACCAATGCAAAAAGACCCAGTCTGGTGTATTTGTGGGGAAAAGTTTTCCTGAGGTCATGTTCCTGCTATATGCAGCTTTTGGAGAGAAGTACCGTGTTTTCCTGAAAATAAAAGTGTGCTGCTTATATAAAGCAAAGCATGCTGCTTATATACCACCCCATAGCACTTCAAGCACTCTCTGGGCGGTTTACAAGTTAATTATGCAGGCTACACATTGCTCCCCCCCCCCCAACCAAGC